CGCTATGGTATCAAATATACGTATAATTAATGTTTATATCAATATATATATATGTTCACTTATAAATCGTATATCCACTTCATTTGACGGGCCTGGTGGTCTAGTGGTGAGCGACCCTGACTGCTAAGCCGGAGGTCGTGGGTTCAATTCCCACCCAGGATAAATATTGTGTGATGAGCATGGTCATTGGTTCTGTGTCTGGATGTAATGTATCTATAATATGTATGTATTTAGAAATATATGTTTATCAGCAGTCTGGTTACCATAGCACAGGCTCTACCTAGTTTGGGATCAGACGGCCGTGGGTGAGATGTGTGATATATACATATATACAAGCTATCTTTAGCTCATCACCCCTTCAAGTAGGGGTATGAGAGTGGAAATATTTTCCACATATATTAAACACGCAAATTTCGCACTCTGAAAACTCGTAGTAACGAGTTTTCAGAGTGCGAAATCTTATTGAAATCGTAAAATAAAAACATCACATATCTATAATTACAATTTGACACATCTGACGCACGGCCATCTGAGGCCTTGGTGCGAGTTTATTTCACATGGTAACGGCGTTCTGCGTTGTGATTGGCCCGCGCTGAACTCTTCACCAATCACAGCGCCAAACTCGGTCACCGTCACGATCGAATCTACGTGAAATAAACTCTCACTTGGCCGTCTAATCCCGAACTAGGCAGAGCCTGTACTAAGGTAACCAGACTGCTGATAAACATACTTATATTTCTGAATATACATCCATGCTATAGATAAATTACAGCCAGACCCAGATGCTATTATTTGTCCTGGGTGGGAATAGAAACCAACCCCTATCTTAGTAGTCACGAATATTTACCACTAGACCAATAACCCTCTGATTTCTATGGTTTATGGGATTCAAACACTTCTCCTAACTTTTTCTTGATATCATTAAACTAAGTTCGTATGTGTTGCAAATTCGTACTACAGGTCAATAAGTATGTTGGGTGAAATATACAAAATATTTTTGAAAGAGATCAACTTTTTCTAAAAATGAGAAAAAGTTAAACTTTTTTTTTATAAATACCTAATTCATGGATACAAAAGCAAAAAATAGTTTTAGGGATGTGACTTTATAGTCTCCGAATAATTTCTTTCCTGTATGTGGTATTTCTGTCTTAAAGACAGGAGATAAGGTTCGTGGTATCATCGCTCAGAAGAAGCGCCATCAACTCACCTTCGCTTAGTCAACTTTATGGATGACTCCAGCTAAAGATGAAACTGACTAGCCAATGATAAATAGGGGATGCAAATGAATGTGTTCCCTCAGCTAAATTGACTTACCTAAACCCTTTGGAGCTCTGGCTGGCCTTTGGTACGTTTATGTACCTAGTCAACTCCTTTGTCAACCCCCTCGGATGCAAAACCAGCACGGGAGTCCAGGCCGGACCGTACTTGTAATTGCTTCTCAATAACCCGTTCGACATTTTTATTTAAGTTTAAATATTTTTATATTTTCACCTAACACACTTTAAAGTAAATATGGATAAAACACAGACGACGCCAGGCGACGTGTATTCATGGTACACTATTAAGTGTGAGGTACATATGACCATTTTTTAATTTATACAAGCTGTTTAAAATACATCGCTAGTACAATAATGTTATAATGGTCTAAGCAACTGATTCTATCGATGGATCCTGACCCGCTCTACTCCTTGCTGAAGCTCCCCATATATCCAATATAAGTACTAAGCGTTTCCTTCCATTCTTACATGTCTCTTTTGATCTTATTTTCCATTTTCCTATTTTTACAACTTAAGTGATTTAGTGATTAAAATGAGTGAATAAATCCCTTTAATTAAGATTGCAAGCACTTTGATGCAAACAGATATTGATATTGCCCATTCGTCTAACTCTGTCAGTAGGACATCTCATTCATACGTGACAATGTACGTACAAAGTGGAGACTAAAAGTGGGTGTAATTAATATATTATGAGCATAAAATTATCTGGTCTATCTTTTTTTACTACTACAACATTTCTCTAACGCACCTAATTTTTTTTTTTATTAATTTTAAAATTTGTGATAGCATTTCAGAAATATCAAATCACTCGGTAAATGTTGAATCTGTAAACATTGAAATTACATTTAGGAAAATATTTTACAACTGGCTGTGAAATGAGACAATCCTTTCAAATCTCTTGTTTGACACATTAGAAACTTCAAATATATACATATGTATAAATTAGATGCTTGATTCACGTAAACGCATATGCATGAAATAATTTTCACAGGATAAAAATATATCTTTTAACTGTTAAGAACAGCTACACCCATTTATTCATTTGTAGTAAAAGAAAAATGAAGACCCAAAACTTCAGATCAAATAAAAAAAGTCAAGATGGAACTTTGCGAAGAACGAAGTGAGGCCGGTTGTATCAACATGTGTGTCCATCATAATGTGATTTTATTAAAAATATTGGTATATGATTCCATCCTATTATCTATCTCTTGAGTTTGATTTTTACATCCTCTAAATGCGGAAACCAAACCCCACAACCAACAAACACCCTTTCACAACACAATTCGGCATTTTTACTTGTAAATAGTTTCGTTGTAAGTGTAATTGTGCATGTACCTCACTTCTTTGATAACGAGTACCATCTTAACTCTTTTTTTTTATCTGAGCGAAAAACAAAGAAATTCAAGGCTCACTAGTGCATTTGCTTATTAAAATTATGACAGCAGAAGATATGTCGTGTCTGCTACCACGCTCGTGTCACTTTATCCTCTCCGTAACAAATAGTAATACATTATCTTTGTATCCACGTGTATCCGCAGTTATCCACCCATATTCAAAATTGTATCCATTAAACATATGTATCTGAGAATTACTTACGTGTTATAAGGACTCAGCTAGTATATAATTTAAACAGCTTATATTGCTAAACCTGAACTAATATGGCATTACAAAGGTAGGTACAGTATTATTAATTCTTTTTGGGTTCAGTAACAGTCCTAGTGTTTAAGTAACCCTAAAAGTCCTTCGACTAAACGATAGTTTATGTTAAATTTAGTTCAATCAGAATATCAAAATATCAAAACACGACATTATTTTAATTTGAGTCTTAAGTTACCGTTCGAAAATACTTTAATAGGTACCGGTATTTTCGTAAATTTTCAAAAACCGGATTTCGGAAGTTGTATTTGTCGTGGAAGTACTAGGTGTTTTTTCATCAATATGTAGTGCTTTCTTGAATATTTCATTAACTTGTTGGTATCTGTTTTGAACCTCGAGAAACGGTTTCAGTACAATTTCCTTTAAATAAACGCTGTCTCAAATTCAGATCTTGAAAAAAAGTGTTTTCTGGATCATGTGGTAGATATGAATAACGCAAGCGATAATAATTGGCAGAACGTTATGATTTTAAAGATCACGAATTTACTATATTATTACTGACTAATTGAAATGAAGAAATTAACCAATTAAGCTAGTATTTTGTAAGAGGTAGGGGTGACATGAATGGAACTATGGGTATTTAATACCGATAGTTTTAGCAAAGATAAAATATCCCCATAAAAAATAAACAACAAAATATGCACCTACACTAGTTTAAAAGTTTCTTGACTTACACTAGTTTAAAAATTTGCATCTACATTAGGAAAATTGATTTTATAAGTTTTTTTTTTTAATAAATTTTTCAATATGCTGCACATAAATAACCCTCTTAAGATTCGATCACACCTTTCTATACCATAGTTTACTTTGATTTGTCTGTGTGTACCATTACTGAGAGTCCAAAAAGAAAAAAATAGGATTTAATAAACAATTTAAATTTGATCGTTTTGTGTACGAACTGTGAAAGTTTGTACAAGTAATAATGTCGTGTGTTGTTATTTTCAATTCAATCAATGCTAAGCAAAGGTGGGCTTGTATAATTTACTATATTTTATGTTATTATACAATCTCCATATAAGATAGGTACATACCGCCATTTTATTGATACATTACAACATATATTGTCTCATAATACTTGTCTTTAGTGAGGTCAAACTACCTATAAGCGTTCAATTAGCAATTATTAAAAATGTATGTGATTAATATTTTAATATCAACGAGAAACAAGTGCCTAGAACGTTCTTCAAACTACTTAAAAATAAAATGATTTTATCAAGTGTCGGGAAAACATCGTTTGTATTTACAGAGTGAAAAATCGACTAAAGATAAACATTTTATCAGAAAAAAGATAAAAAGATTTTTTTTTTCAGTATTTGATAGACCAATTCTTTTTAATAATTTTATATAATAATACGAATAACATATATTTTAACATGATTTTTGTAAATTGCTTCATATATTGTGAGTTAAAGTATATATGTCTTTTAAAAATCGAAATGACTATGTATAATTGAAATACAATTCTCTAATAACAACAACTTTAAAACAAAACGAAAGCTAAAAACATCGAGAGATAGTGGAGCATGCACAGGATGCGTAAATTTAGAAAGAAAAAAAAATAAAATAAAAGATATTTATACACAAATCATATATAATTATACATTATGGTGGTCACTTACACCACGGTCTACGATTATTTACATCAACATATAACATAACTTAATCTTTGCTGAAACATCAAATATTTAGACAAAAAAACGATCAACTCATCTAATAATCACAATATTACTTACGTATGGAATAATAAATCTTTTTAATACTAAAACTCAATGCAGTACTTACAATGTAGACGAAAACAATATATAATAATCATTATTATTACAAAATATAATAATTACTATCACTACAATATATAATTATTATTATTACAAAATATACATGTTTTTCGTGTGCTGGGTTATATGAAATACAAAAATATTGTTATTGCGACACGGACACGTGTCGGGGTGTCCTCTGTGGTTCGCGAGGGGGGCGTGTGGGGGGGGGGGGGGGGGGCTGGGCCAGCCAACGCCGTGTCGCGAGTTAGTTTCGTCACTGAAGCGTCGGTCATTACATTTGTCAATGTGATCACCCCCCGTTGCTCGGATGCTCCTGTAGAGGATTATTTTTTACTGTCAATTATTTATTGTATGCCCGATACATAAGACTATGAGTTTTTTTTTTTTTTTATTGTATGCCCGATATATAAGATATATTCTACATTTGTATGAAAATCGTTTTCGCTCGTCATTTAGAACCGGTTTATAAATACCGGATTTAAATGACGAACGGTACCGTGGAATAGAAATCCGGCAATTTAAAAGTCTTCACGGTTCAATTAATTTTTGACGTTTAACAAATTGGATTCATAGATTTTATTAAATTATTAATACGTCGACGGTAGAATGTTTAAGTTAACTATACTGTGCAATGAAAATGCTAAGAGTCAATAGAATGACCGTTCTCTGGGTTCTCTACCTGTATAGATGGATCCAATCCTGGTTTCGGGAAGGGGATCTCCTCGTTCGTTTGGTTATCTGAAATTCAATATATGGTCATGAGTTATCGTTCTAGGCGTATCGACATGTAGATGTAAGGTGAAGGCGTATGTTTATGAATGTATAATAATCGTCTAGAGTTATTCTGTACTGTTAAGGATCGTTAGCAGCGAGTGCGAGAGAATGAGTGTGCATGTGTGTGAGTGTGCGTGTGTGTAAGTGTGCGTGTGTGTGAGTGTGCGAGAGAGTGAGTGTGCGTGAGTGACTGTGAGTGAGTGAGTGTGCGTGAGTGAGTGAGCTTGTGAGTGAGCGTGTGAGTGAGCGAGCGTGGCAGGTCGCGAGTGAGCGCGCGGCGTACCGTGCAGGCGGTGGGCGCGCAGCGCGTCGTTCTGGTCGCGCAGCGCGGCGAGGTGCGCGCGCAGGGCGCGGTGCGCGTGCGGCGGCGGCGCGGCGCACACGAGGCGCGCCAGGGCGGCGTGCAGCCCGCGCGACGCCGCCGCCACGCGCGCCGCCAGCAGCGCCGCACTGCCTCTGCACTCTGAGGGAACGAACGCGACATACGTTACTCGATTTGCATCCGTGAACCTTTCTCTTTCACCCTTTCGTTTCGTTCAAAAGTTAATACTCGCTCGTGGCGAGCTAAAAGGCAAAAAAAATATATAGACCGATTTAAACTTGCGTACTCGTCTGACTCGTATGATCCCACGCCGATATAACAAAATCTAAAGTTTAAAGCGAAAGTTGCCTCACCGAGCGCGTCATCTGCGCCGTCATCGTGCGCACAGTCGTACGCGGCCTGCGGCCCCAGCGCCTCGCTCAGCTCGCGCTGCAGCGCCTCCGTCACCGCGGAGCTGTCGCACTCCACCTCCTCCTCGTCGGGGTGAGAGATCACTTCGAACGATTCTGCACGATAATCACGTGCTTCATTATTTAACTTTAATCGATTCAAACTTTACACAAACTCATATATACACAATACATATTTCTCCTTTATGAAAAATTGTTTCTTTTATAAAATTGTTTAATATACTCTTTGTATAAAAAATCTTCATATACTTTAAAAAGAATCGGGACTGTAACGTATCCCAGTAGGACTCCTCTCCACGAATTGAGTTAAAGAATAATTTTTTGTCGATGAAGGGTTGATTAACCATTCAACAGTTGAGTATAAAACTTAAAATTCGACAAAAAATAAAAGCTTTGAGGACTTCCGTATATTTTCAAGAACGAAGTAAAAAGATTAAAGGTGCTAAACGCTTTACTTAGCTCAATAAAAATTATGACGGCACCTCGAATTGTAATTCTTTTTTTATTGTTTACAACCCGCATCATAACTATATCGTTGATAGTTTTTGTCATTCGAATCACAGGATGAAATTTTATTGCAGCTCGTTGCATATATTTGAATCTATGAATACAGTTATTCGCATCGCTCTTCGTGTATTAATGTATAAGTTAATTACCTTGGTGGTCGCGTGTTCGTGTGCACGCGCCGCAGCGTCCCGCGCGCGCCCGCGCCGCCACCGCGTCCGCCTCGCTCACCGTCAGCGCGCGCTGCACGTAGCGGGTCAGCTGAGTCGCTGCAACATCATTTTATTTATTCACTTATCGTACCACATCTCATTTTTCACTCAGTTAATCCATTTTTACATACGATGACAAGAAAATAGCACGATTATATAAATTCGGCATCACATCATCGACAGCATTTAATAGTCCACTGCTGGACATAAGCCTCTCCTTAAAAAAGAGGAAAGGAAATCAGTATCCCATAACCGAAAGATAACTGTGACCGAGACATAAGCCCATTGAAATTCAAACATAAAACTAAGTTAAACTATTAAAAATAAGTATAACGCGTATGCGACGGTCCATGAAAGCTCACCTTGCGCGTGTGCCGCAAGTAACAGTTGATACAGATCAGGTTGTTGTGGGGGTACGTCTTCATCTACGCTGTTGCTCCGTGACAACTGCCCACGAGATAATCTCAGTTCACCGGATACATCTGTAATATTTTAATTAATTGAAAGCTTAAAGAAGACTTATTAAACTACTAAAAATATACTTATAAAATGAGAATTTAGAAGACTTTATTTTCCACCAACATATATTTTAGTAATAACTTACCAACTTCACCGAGTGCTTCGGCCACGGCGAGGTCGGCTAAATGCGTGTAAGACTGTGGTGGAACTCCCAGAGCGTTGCCTACGATTTGACTCTTAGCGCGGAGGGCTCGGTTAATCACATCGTCCAGTCGACGAAGACGTTCTACAAATAAAAAAATATAACGTTAATGTTAAAATTAACCGACCGAGTGATGTTCTACTTTTTGTTTTAACCTTTGCCTTTCGATAACGTCGTGGAAGATTTGAATGTCGAGTTCTTAAAGCACTTTATTTTTGTAATTTACTCAATGAAAGATAATTCGATAACGACAAGGTTCATCTTTTTCCTTATCGACATAGTTATGAGGCGCAAGTATAGATCCCTGCGGTACGCCCGATGGCTTTGTACGATGCAACGTTTGTTATATTCGATAACGAGACCGAAGTTCAGCTCTATTGACATATAATATTTCTCAACACAGTAATCGCTTTAAGGATAAACCTATAAAATATGTTAGTGTTAATTTTTGTAGACGTGTAAAGCGATCGAAAGCTTTAGTGAGTGCAATGTAGTGCATCAGTCTCTGACCGTGGTCGGTGAAGGCTCTCTCGGCGGTGGCGGCGGCGGCGGGCGCGCTGACGCAGAGCGCGGCGGGCGGCTCGAGCGCGCCGGGGGCGGCGCCGTGCGTGCTGATGCGGCCCACCGTGGGGCGCCGGGGCCTGACACAACAACAAACCTCCTCTAGCAAACGTTTCATATTTAACCAAGATATTGGAGTTTCAGAACTGCTCTCTGAGGGTAGATCGTCTTTATTATAAACAGAAACGTTGTCATTACATAAGCCACGACAGTGGGGTATACTATTTAATAGTAATACACGTTAGAAAAAATATCACAGTCTTTTACACAAAACCATTCATATTTTATTCTAAACAAAAAATGTTAATACTTATATACACAAAAATTTAAACTGACGACTAGTCCACTAACAAATGTTTTATGGGTATTTTAAATTTATTATCAGATACTTGTCTCGAAAAACTAACTAACGACAGAGGTAAATAAAAAATATTGTCTATATGCCAAAAACATAGATCAAATATGGCTGTAGCTGCTATCTAATTAATTACATCTTAACTGAAACTACGACTCACTTATGCTTCTCTTCTTTCTCTTCCTCCTTGTCGACTGAACTCCTGTCTTCTCTTTCTACACTGTTGGTCTCTTCTCTTTCCTTTTCGTCGATCTCGGTCGATGTCCTGTCGACGGATCGCTCAGGTTCCACTGGCTCGTCTAACGGTACGGTTGACGAAGATTTTTCCGAAGCGTCTGATGGGTTGCGAGATACATTCACACCTAAAAAGAAAGTCATGTAAGACATTATTAAAAATAAATGCGTTATGAACGAAAAGTTAATTAGTTTATTTAGACTGTCTCTTCATCTATATGCGCTAAGGATTTGTGAGTATTACCTGAATCATCAGTTGACCGGCTGGGTTGGTGGGATGGCGTGATACTTGCTTTCAGTTCCGTCAGTTTCGCTAATGGCGCCTCCTGAATGTGCTTCACCCATCTGCCGAATAACACATTTGCTTGGTAAAATAATGCTCACTGTGTCCGTTTTCCATATAAAAACAATAATAATCTTTTTCTGGGTTTCTCTTTCATAAAAAGGGACTTGTTATTTTTGAACATTATCAATTCAGACATAGGTACAATATAAACTCAAGTGAGCACACATTTTTTGGCGATTTGATGTTACTTAAATTTATGTTATAATAACGCAACTAAATGGACCCAGTGCAGACCCTGGGTTACTCTAAACCTAATTTGAGGTAAGTACTTTCTTGCACCTCGGAACTATGAACATACAATTTAAATCATTTTTACTTATTATTAATATAAGATTAATGTGTTTTATGTTAAATATAAGTCTTATAAAATAAAATAAAAGTGAGTACCCAAAAGCTTGAGTGAAATCTATGAAATGAACTCACATCACGGTACAAATTTGTTTCTTATTATTTGTTTTTTTTTTTGTAAAATTATAAGTAATCCAGTTCTCAAGTGTAATGTCAAATGTTTAGAGCGAAGCAGTTTTGTTCTCAACATATAATATTGCTTATTTATTAATTGTCTTTAAAACTGGTTTTAATTACAAAACTACATAAACACACGCACACATATATATACATGCATTTAGAACAATTTTTCAATCTTTCTTAACAAAGGTAATATAAATTTTAATCCATAATTACAACAAGTCATGGTGCACATGTGATACTCACGAGGCATACTCGGGCGCTGAACTGGCAGACAACTCGTGCATCTGCATAGCATTGATGTTCATCAAGAAGAACGTGTTGCGGACCGCTGCATTCGGCCTAAACAGCACTTTGTCCCTGTCATCATAGATACAATTTTAGTGAACCTACTTTTTATTAAAGAATATCTCGACTGCCAAGAAACAGAAAGTTCGAGTTACAGCTGTACCGTTTTTCTACTCAAGGTGATGCCTACACTCCCTAATCTATTCGTATGATCAACATCACTTGGTTTCTTTTGTCTTCTTTTTTACATACATTTTCCTCTCAAATTCTCCCTATTTTTTAATTTTTGTTGAGTTGAGTAAAGTGAGTATTTATGTAGATCATAGGACCCCAGGGCTCGTAATAAATGTGACATTATTTTTACTCACCATCTGATAAGCGGTGGTAAAGGCTGTTGTTGGTTTGGTTGAGGAAACGGTTTCAAAATGAATTTGTCACCTTCACGCTGCAGTAGCACTAGGCTGTCTTCTAACATCAATGCCTATAAATAAATAAAAATACTGAATAAATAAAGTAATAAAAGAAATTTACTCTAAAAAGAAATCAGAGAAAGGATAATTAATATTATTTAACGGGAATTAACGCGATCTCTTATTTAGGGTATTACATACCTCTGGTTTGCCTGACGTTTCGACCAGGTTGCACCGGCCGTGGTCACAGTCAGTCAGCCTGTGACCACGGCCGGTGCAACCTGGTCGAAACGTCAGGCAAACCAGAGGTATGTAATACCCTAAATAAGAGATCGCGTTAATTCCCGTTAAATAATATTAATTATCATGGAACGCGAAAGTTTAAAAGTTAGCAGAGAAAGGATAATGGAAATTGAGAAAAAGACAATTTAGCGTTTTCAGGGATCAATTACGGATAATTATATTTATAAATACTTACGAGAACATTAATCCTCTTGCTGGAGTCATTCCGGAGAGTCAGTTCACCCTCGTTGCATAGCGTGTGCTGCGTGAGGTCCAGCCGCCTCAGTTCTTCCATTTCCGGGACTGAACTTGGAACACGTACTTCTAGTTTACTTTGGATCGTTCGTAATCTGAGAAAGATACATTTTTGTGTTACAAAGTGATTATTTTCTCCTTTTTAAGATAATGAGACTTTCATTTTTAGTCAATCATAATGACTTCAATTTGAAAAACCAAAGTGTAATCCGCGTACCTGTGCTCATTTTCAGCCGTCCGTATGGCTGTGTCAACTTTATGTAGAACTTCCTTCGCCACTATGTGAGCTTTCCTTAGCTTAGCGATATCCTCTGAGCTCTCGTTCTCGCTGTCCGCTGTCTTAAGGATACCTTCCAAAAGGAGCTGGTATTTTGTCAACCTGCAACAAGAAATAACCAGTAAGTTATGAGCATTTACGATAGTCGCTACGGTGTAGGTATTGTGTGGCTGGAAAACTCACCTCTGCCAGACACAGGCTAACATGTCCCGGAGTTGCAGGCGGCCACAGACCTGCAGCTGCTCGCGGCTGGCGAGGAACTGCTGCAGCTCCTTGTTCTTACGGCGCCGCTCGCGTAAAGCGTCCAGCGCCATGCGCTGCCCACGGCAAAACTTCGACACGCATGACGCGTAGCCTGACTCCCCAAGCTGTAGTAATTCATTCAGTTAATAAGCGTCCTTATAATTATCCCACTTTAACGTGATAAAATAATTATTAGACAATGCAACCAACTCACAGTATTTAATAATGCATCGGCTATTGGCCTTATCTCCACAACGTGGTTGGTGGCGTCGTTCCTCGCAGCCCTGAGATCACCGTACAATCTTGCATGATGTTCTCGGACCGCTGGAAGGTTAGGAAAGAGAGACCGAAGCTCCTCCTGGATCAGAAGACCACTGCGTTCCAGTGGCTTCAGGAATACATTTCCCAGGACGCGGAGCCATCGGAGATGAGATCCTTCGGAGACTATTAGCTCTGTACAGAAAAGTTAAAAACCATGTTAGAAAATAAGGTCAAAACTTTTGTCCAGAAAACTCTAGGTTTACCTTAACTAAATATACTAACCATGTATGACTTCTTGCCGTTTTCTGATTTTAGCACAAAGTACAAGTGAGCTCAAAATTGCCGGTGGAACGCTGTCAGACCACTGGGCAGCCAAAGGTTCATCCTCCTCGGACCAGTCAGATTGAGATGCTGTAAAAAGATGTTTTAAATCAACCAACAATACAGGAATGTAAAAAAAACAACTGATGTTGTTTTAATTCATAGAGAAAATACTCAAACAGGATCGAACCCACACCACTCAGTGCAGTAGGAAGCGTCGAAGTGACCGCTTAAACCACTACGCCAAGTGACGTTATAGTAATTGTATGCTTCACGCTTCCATAAGGTATTAAACGACTATTTAAAAGTACCTTGCTGATCAGCAGCAACAGTGTTGCTCTCGTTACTCCTGGACGATAAACTGGAACTGCTTGAACTGCCTGAGGGAGCAGTGGCCGCGCCTGGCTCCAGGTCACTGCAAAGTTAAAAAAAGTTATACATTAAAACTATATTTTAAACCCATTAACGTAATTCAACAATGGAAAACTTTAAAGAACAGAGAAACATTAAATATCAGATACATGTAGTAAATATATTTTCAGTTCTGTTTTCTATATAAACAAATAAATAGTCAAGGTTTTATTCAATTTTATGGTTTCTTTGTGCACCCATGTCTGTTGGGTGTTATTTCGAGACGAATCGACGATTTTATTTTGTTGATTTTGGCAACAAAATATATTTTTTGATGCAGCCAAAGAGTTACGACATCCGTCTGTAAATATATAGGCATCGTTATAATGATAATTTTAGTTGAAAAAGAAAGAGTTTTTGTTTAAACCGTTTGGAGGAAACTCCTTACAAAAATCTATATCGCAGATATTAATATCCTTAGACAAGCCGTCCCCGTAGATGACCGATGAAGTTATCTAGGTCACCGCTGATAAAGTACATAGGGTCATCCTTGATTATGTAAGTTATGTATACCTTAAGAATTAAATAGCATAGTTGCACATCCGACTAGCATTTCACAAAAAAAACTTTGATTGATTAGCGTGTTTGTCTTGCACTAAAGCACCTATCTACAGAAATATTTATAATCAAGAGGCACTTAATAAACCCTTCGACATCAGTTAATGAGTAAATGCAATAGATTTAATACGAAATTTGCTCTTGCTAATTGTGAGGACCAATTATTTCTTTAGTTTATACTAAATAAATAATATAACCTTATGTTAATTTGACGGTGTAAAATTTGCGAATGTTGGTTATTCAAAAAAAAAACTACCAAGAATAAACGAACCAATTGCCAATAGTCCGGGATCAAAGGTCAACATAGGAGGAAGCCCAAGTCTAAACATTGCACGGGAAGTTGTAAAACTGTTGCTAATTCAGTACCAACTTTTGAAATGGCACGGCATTGCGCACGCGCAGCCGTTTGATTGGACCGACCTTTAGAATTAACCGAATTAGGAATAGTTAATTACAATATAGTGGAAACAGGAATAATTTTCGTAAAATTAGTTGAGAGAAAGGTCAACTCATTTGACCTTCCTCTTTGACCAATTTTACAAACATAACATGAGTTTTATTTGAAGTTTGAAGCACATTTTGTATAACGAAGCCCTAAGCACGTTAACCTTCATATTTTACCGTTTACTTCCTTTCTGGTCTAATAATGTCCATGGAATCTATCATCTTTACTTCCTGCTCGTCTTTTTAACTTCAGAACATCCAACTATACATAAATCATCTTTTCAACACTTCTCCCTCTAAATCAAATAAAAGATTTTTTTTTAAATTCTCAATTGAAAAGGATTATACAAGGTAAAACCGAACTCCTAGTATTTTGTAGGTATTCAAGAAACGCTGTCAAAATGAGGCGTCTCTACGTTTTCAGTAAAAAGTGCCTCGTTTAGTTCTTTATGTAAGCATTTATGTATATTCTAGCTGACCCTGCAAACGTTGTTTTGCTATTAACATTATTTAAATATATATTTTTTTTAATTTCTTAAAATTCTTAGCTGACCTCTACTCGGTGAAAAGAATATTCCTACCAAATTTCAAGTCTTTAGCTCTAATGGTTCCAGAGATATCGTGATGAGTGACTATATACGTGGAAATCTCTTATATATATATATAGATAATGATACAAAAAACTGCTGTGATAAAACAGCTCAACTGTATGTTCTAACTTAGAATAACATGGTGGCAGTTATTCCAGAGCACTTGCTTGCATCTTGTCACAAATTAGCAGGCCTTCATGAATATTAGAGCTAATATGTTCTCATTAGAATTCATTTCCCTTGCTTCTTGCAAGTTAATGCTACTTACTAAGAAATTTTCACAGTTGATCTTCTACAGAATCAAGTATTGATTTTATTAATATTTTATGTCAAGTTTAAAGTCAAGCTAAAAAGAACTGATAAACATAATAGGTATAATACATTGACGTGAGAGAAACTGTGAGCAAAAGCTAGAATATACAAAAGCTAAACAGAAAACAAAGAACATATAGAAGTAGGTTTTCTATTTTACATTTCAACTGTCTAATACGAAAGTTTGAGTGAATATTCATACTAATAATAGATTAAGTAATCGAAAAGGCATGAAGAGAGAACTCTAACGAATACAGTTTAAGAATTCAGTCCACGTATAATTTACCTGAAACTCTAATCGATTATAAGAATCGTTAGTCGTTGAATGAGAACCGAACTTTACATATAGTTTACAATAAAGGAATCAACGATTGATGCCTGTTCAGCTTTTATGTTTCTTAATTTCAAAAAGTGGTCGGAATAGGTTTGTATTTGAAATTAAATACGTATTATAAACCATTTAATGTTTCTATATAGTTTTAAATTATTTTTACCAATAAAATTAATTTGCAGTTTGGATTTCCTCATCTTTAAAAGTAACAGTCGTATTTGAAAAAAGATACATTTATTACCTAACTATTTAAGAAGTTTTTAGAACTATAACGTAAGGAAATCGACAGGTTACCTAAAACGTATAAATCAAATCTCTTTCCTGTAACCTTCGGTGTCAACCCAGTAATATTCCAGGTAAATTTTCCATAGCTGCGGCAATCTCATCAAGTAGATTGTTGTGAAACTTATATAATTACCTTCGCGCCTTGAGCATACACATTTAATATTGCTGAGGTAATTTTCCGGGTAAATGTTCTACTTTCAGTCAATTTTAAATAAATTAAAATAGAAAATTAAATGGTTTTGTTGCTCCTGTAATAGTAGCTTTGTTTAAAAACCGCATATTATTTTCACACACATGAATTTAATATGTATATACGAGTACCCAGCTTTTATTTCGATATTATTGTATTTTATAAAAAATTATACTTTACAAAATATTTAGGAATTTCTTTAAATTCTTATTATATTCAATTCCAACCAGCACTTGATGTATTGTAAAGGCACTATATGTCCGTATTTATTTTATCATCTTTTTTTTAACATTTGCAATAATAAAAGTCACAGATCAAGTAATCTGACGTCCGCATATTGTTTTATGACCACCACAAGCTTCAGGATGCAAAAACATCTTTCATATCACAAATGTATAATCGCTAGATTTCATAATTAACACACAATAGTAAAAACAGTTTTGTTTTATTTTTGTTTTGGTATTTTGTAACAGAATATGGCAATACTCCAAAATGCAGACATCGTTAAATACTTAATGTACCGGAGCAGTTCATTATTAATGGCAGCGTACGATTCATAACTTAAATAAATTATTATCCGTAAATTTTGGTCTTAATGTCTCACGTTACGAGTGACAAGTGACACACAAAATCTGTCTTCAATCACGTACTACTGCAACATAAACTAACTAAATACATAATATTTGAATAAGAAGTACTCGAAACAACAAATACAAACTAACTACAGAAGATAATAACTGGTGTTATCATAATCGGTGTTATGTCGAGCGATAAGCTCCTATTTAGTTTCTTAAATAGTGAAACGAATTATTAAGTGATTTTTTCCTTTCCATACCATGCATCCATACACATACACGTTTGGGGTAGGGACAGACGACAGAACGCCATTAGCCACGATCCTGACACAGCTAGTGCCTCTTCCATTCATCTTCCATCAACATTTATGCACGCTCGCCGGTTATGGGTGCTTTTAACAGAGCCTGTCTTCAGTATATTGCCTTTTTATAGTATAGGAAATCAAACAAACAGACGGAGTAAGTTGGACCGTTGGACACCTGCAATTCAAAGAGTGCGTTGGCGCCCTTAGAATCGTCCATCCAGAACCAAGGAGAGGGGGAAGGGCAGTATATGTCTTTCAGTCAGTCAGTCGTAGATTTTAATATACCATAAAGAACACTAACTAAACTAATGGTATGTTAGAATCAAACCGACTAAAACCACTCGGTACTCCGCCACAACAAGCGCGTCTATTCCAAGCCGTTCTTAGCCGCCTGGTAACAGGCAACGATAGCGATACCGTCAGGGGAGGTCTGCTCAAACCACTGCCCAAAGCCCGGCGCTCATAGAGGTGATCAAAGGTAAAACTATTTACTTTCATAGACAAATACTCTAACCAACACTATAAACATATCTAGACTTATTTTAAAACTAGCTTATTTTAAATAATATACAACTTCAAAGTAACAAACGATACTATAATAAATGAAAAATAGCACATGCAAAACCGTTGTAAAATAAATAAATTTTCTGATGGCTACCATATAAACACCAGCTTTCATGAGGGAAGTAATCATTCTTAAACAGTAATTACCTTTCTGACAGAGTCCGTCTCGCCAGCATCCCGATAGTGGGGGGTTGCCTTCCAGCAGGTAAGGATACATTCCTGGACACTCTTGGAGGGGCTGGAGTAGCCATTGTTTTTAGCACTGATTAATCACTTCGCACAGTAAGTCACTGAATGTTTTTTCGTTACACAAATGTCATTTTGATTATAGACTCTTACGATTTAATTTTATATTTGGTACATTTATCAGATGGTTTCTATTTTATAGTTGACAAGAGAAATATATTATTATATTTTTAGACAATTAGCTCTATTGCCGATAAAAATCTTAGTCAATAAAATATAAGTGTAATAGAGGAAACGAACAAATGTGGACTAGGGTAACTAGACAAAATTTAACACTAAGGTGACAAAACTAGCAAAACTAAAACCATACGATATTTTAAATAAATGAATTTTGAATTAAATTTATTTTTAGTAGTCGATTTGATCTTTAATTGTCGCGGCAAGTATTGCCGTGCCGTGGCAACTTGTAAGTAAGACAACACTCAGAAAATATTTGTAAAACATGTTTGTAAACTATGTATTAGTGTATGTTTTGTAAGTTGTCCTAAATAAATAAAATACAATTAGACCCTGTCCTGCCGATAATCAACTCTAATTTCTACCTACTAAACAACTCTTACTAAGGAGCTCCCGCACTTGTTCTAAACCACAAAACAAGCTGTTTATACTTCACATACGTCAGTCTTCCCATATTTTGTTTGAAACACAGAGTTATGAAGTCATATTATTGTTTGTTTACGTTCATATTCAATACATATCATTACTTCATTAGTTGTTGTATAACCAGCTAACGGAATAAGAATAGTGATCAGTACTTTAAACAGATTCAGAGTGTAAAAACCGACTATATCTAGTTACTAGTTTCTTGATTATCGAATAAGAAGATACTATTAGACCTTGATTTAATAAAGTAAGGATTCAGACGTCAATTTAAAAAAAATGTCGGTTAATCCGTCTTCTCGTTTGCCCCCTACATCTTAGAATAATACTAACTAATGTTTGTCAGCTGTCTGCAATGCATCTTCAGTGTTCCCATATAATATAGCTTCAGAATTTAGAAGACATATATAACATATGAGACAGACTAAACTCCCGTCTATATCTTTGATAAATACGGAGATGTATCATTAAACTACAAATTATTAAATATATATATATCATCATCAACAGCCTCTAATAGTCCACTGCTGGACATAAGCCTCTCCTTAGAAAGGAGGTTCTGGCCTACTATACCACGCTGGCCAGACGGGTTGATATAGGGTTTGTGTCAAGTTTTCCTTCTCTCTGCAGTGCTGTTGTTCTGCGTAGTTTGCTCCCTTAGTCGGCTCTTACGACACCCACGGGATGAATAGGGGTGGTGACAGTCTGTATTCTTAATCCGTCACCACACGGAAAATATATATATATCTATTCTTTATTTTTGTTTATAGAACCGAACCCATAAGCTATCGATCCCAAGGAGTCTCGTATCTAATATGTTATTTATTTCAGTATAAAACACAAAGCGAGAGATTATTATGCCAATTATCAATTATTAAGGTCCTTATATTCAATTACGTTATAGTCTACTAGATAATATGGCGTCAATCATGTATTAAATGGTATATGACCATATGTAGCGTATTGTGAGCTCAATAACGTCAGTTATTGACTAAAGTCTATGGTAATGAAATACAAGCCTACATCTAACAATATATTATTCAGATTATTACTATAAAGGGAACGTGGAATGGTTACCGCTTACCCTCAGACAGGCGACATACTTTTTTTGCTACTTAATAGAAATCGAATGCAATTATAGTTGGAAACATATTTGTAAACTCTAAATTATATTCAAAGTGCTATCGATAAAAACACCAGCAGTGGTCATAGCCATTGCCAATGATTTTCCATTGCCCGCTTCCAATTTCGACCTAAATGTCAGATCATACTCATCAACGAAGAATCAGTACTCCGTTTGTGGTCAGTCAGTTAAGCCGTGTTATCATTTGTTACTTTTTATATAATAATAATAATAATAATAAGTCATAATAGTCATATCGGCCCATGGATTAGTTGCTAAGAGCCTCGACCAACATCTTCAGAGGCTCGCGTTAGGCAGTTGGATTAAGGGTCTGATGCAGAAAGCAGTTCTTCTCGATACGGCACGTATTGTGAGGAAGTTTCTGTCTCTGGAGTCCTAACCACCGATATCTTGGTCTCTGTACCCGATACCGATGGGATACTATTTTTTATATTTTTAAATGTTTTTTTTTTGTTTTTGTATATAAATATATTTAAAAATGTAATTTATATGTATAAATAATGAAATAAAGAAATAATAATAATATTCTACCACATTCACACAACGTCATCTAGTCCCAAACTAAGCAGAACTTGTACTATGGGTACTAGACAACTGATATAAATACATATATACTTTTTGTAAATACATACATATTATACATAGAAACACCCAGACCAAATCAAACATTAAATGTTCATGCACACAAATGCTTGACTTGAGCGGGAATCGAACCCGCGACCTTTGGAATAGCAGTCCGTTACACAAACCACTACGCCATTCGGTCGTCGTTCGTCGTTTTTGCATCATAAACAAGATGAAAGAGATCACAAAATGGCAATAGTTGTCAGAGCAATGACGTAAAGGCGGCTCCATGTATTGTTTTAAACCGAAGGTGAAGACTTGAGTTATTTTTAAATGTATTTTAATATCAGGCAATATTAAAATCTTTGATTCAATAAACAATTACACGTAGGAAAAAAAGCTTCATAGCCCGTGTGATTGTAAAAAATCACAAACATAATGGTTGAGTAATGCGTTAATTTTAATTAATTTGACTCTACCACGTTTATTGTGAGTTAGGTTATTCTCCTAAAAGACACTTTTATATTGATTACTTATTTCAATTTTATAATGCACGAACATAAGAAAAACAGCAACAGACGAACAATACAAAAACCGTGATTAAACCGCGCTTCTGTCATAGAACTTTGTGCTACTGAATGTAATCTCCATAGATCTTCTGGTAGGGACGACCTATCCTTAAACAGTCCAGTCCATTTCATTTGAAGAAGAATATACAACTCACGTCACTAAAGCTGTGTCTGAAACCTAAGGATTTGAAATGCTTTGCTTAACTGACAACTGCACCAAGATCTACTGCTAAAATTACAGTTGAACTCACTATTTGTGGAGTTTTATCAATTAGAAGCTAATTAGATATCTAAAGGTTTAACTACCTGTAAGATACCCATATGAAAATACTAGTGTTGTGTAATAATAAGAAGTAATTTAAAGGTAGTTTTCTCTTCTCTAATCTTCATACGGTTGCATCATAATGATTCTTTATAGACATATTGTGTATGAATTGTAATGAAAACAGGCCTCTTTGTGGCTATGGTTGTATAAATACATATATACATACACAATGATTGTTTTAACGACTCATGCTGGAGCATACACCAGTAATGGCTGTGATAAAACAAAACTTAATTTTACTAACAATTACCACATGTTTGTTTAAATGAAGGAAAGTGTGTCCACAAAGTGTGTCTTTTGGAACAAAGGCTATTTATTATGTAATATTGTATTATAAGTCCACGCCCACTCGGATCGGATTAAGAATCTGATCTGAATTCTTAGTCAGATTAAGAATACTGAGTGTCACCACCCCTATTCACCCCGTGGGTGTCGTAACAGCCGACTAAGGGAGCAAACTACGCAGGACACAGCACTGCAAAAATAATGAAAACTTGAAACAAACCCTATACCAACTCGTCTGACCTGTGTGATACAGTGGGACAAAACCTCCTTGCTTGCTTGTCTAGTAGTGGATTATTAAAGGCTGGTGATGAAAATGATGATGAATGAACAAGTATTTCTAGGTGTAGCCGTGGTAGAGGTCGTGGGTACCATTTCCACTCAGGACAAATTATTGTGTGACAAGGATGATTATTTGTTCTATGTCTGGGTGTAATTTATTTATAATATGAATGTTTTAAGAAATTTATAACACCTACGGAGATACGCGTGATTGAGTCTTCCTGTGTGTAGGTGTATAAAGTAAACTGTTTAAGACACTAAAAGTGATGTGGTAAGAAATAAAAGGAGACGTATTATAATTTGAAGAAGATCCTAGGAAACACCTGCACGAATAGTGTCCACTGGAAGGAAATAAATACCCTACACCTCGCTTCTGAATGCTCTAGATTTTTTGAAGATAGGTACCAGTAGTCGGGGATCCAGGTGTACGCTAGAAAGGAAATACCTGGTGCCCCGATGTACCTCGGGCCATTTACGGTCTAAGTTCTTGATTGATAAATTCGAAAGTAAGTTTGATTGCTTTTCCGACAAGACACTTTTCCGCTATATTTAATTAACAGATCATGTTGAAATGTTCTATGCGCAATAAGAGTAAAGAAAGCACATAAGATATCCTTTGTCAAATCATCATCATCAAAAATCATGTTTTCGAGGGGTAAAACAATTATTTTAGCGCAAGTAAATCGAAAAAGCAAACGCAAAGTTTTTGTATCAAGGCAGGTGTAAGTCTGAATACTCCTACTAGAAAGTAAATAGTTTAGGGCTTTCTTAATTTATCTATATACCATTGTAATATTATAAAAGTATGATTGATTAAGTTGTAAAAATACGACACGAAAATAATACCACCACTTTTTTCAGAAGTCGGTTAAAATACCTCTATGCACTTTTTTAGTTTTGTTAAACGTAGGCGTTATGATATCAGATAGACAATATTTAATAATTACTCATTGCATTATATCATATGCACAACCAATCTGTATCATTGAAAAAACTGCAATGGGATGAAGTCAGAACATTAAATCATAGTAACAATTAAATAAACACTAACAATCAAATTATAACAAACACTTGTTATCACCGAGTCCAAAATTCGACAAACATTAATAATCCAATTCACCATGAAAAAATAATTAAATCACTTATTTCAAATCGCCCGCTTCGCAAAAATCAATCATTTCAAATCGCTTACTTCCGAAAATGACACGGCGATTTCTAAATTTAAAATTCTTCAATTAA